CCCTGACCCGAGTTACCCCGATGATGTGGGGCTCTGGACGCCCGAATGATCCGGGGGAAGTCGGGTCCGGGGTAAGTCGGGTTCGGAATCCCGAAAAACGAACCCGAGTTAGCCCTGACCCGCGTTACCCCTGATGATGTGGGGCTCTGGACGCCCGAATGATCCGGGGGAAGTCGGGTCCGGGGTAAGTCGGGTTCGGAATCCCGAAAAACGAACCCGAGTTAGCCCTGACCCGAGTTACCCCTGATGATGTGGGGCTCTGGACGCCCGAATGATCCGGGGGAAGTCGGGTCCGGGGTAAGTCGGGTTCGGAATCCCGAAAAACGAACCCGAGTTGGCCCTGACCCGAGTTACCCCTGATGATTCGGGGCTCTGGACGCCCGAATGATCCGGGGGAAGTCGGGTCCGGGGGTAAGTCGGGTTCGGAATCCCGAAAAACGAACCCGAGTTAGCCCTGACCCGAGTTACCCCTGATGATGTGGGGCTCTGGACGCCCGAATGATCCGGGGGAAGTCGGGTCCGGGGTAAGTCGGGTTCGGAATCCCGAAAAACGAACCCGAGTTGGCCCTGACCCGAGTTACCCCTGATGATTCGGGGCTCTGGACGCCCGAATGATCCGGGGGAAGTCGGGTCCGGGCTAAGTCGTGTTCGGAATCCCGAAAAACGAGTTAGCCTGATCCCGAGTTACCCTGATGATGTGGGGCTCTGGACGCCCGAATGATCCGGGGGAAGTCGGGTCCGGGGTAAGTCGGGTTCGGAATCCCGAAAAACGAACCCGAGTTGGCCCTGACCCGAGTTACCCCTGATGATTCGGGGCTCTGGACGCCCGAATGATCCGGGGGAAGTCGGGTCCGGGCTAAGTCGGGTTCGGAATCCCGAAAAACGAACCCGAGTTAGCCCTGACCCGAGTAACCCCTGATGATTCGGGGCTCTGGACGCCCGAATTATCCGAGGGAAGTCGGGTGCGGGGTAAGTCGGGTTCGGAATCCCGAAAAACGAACCCGAGTCAGCCCTGACCCGAGTTACCCCTGATGATTCGGGGCTCTGGACGCCCGAATGATCCGGGGGAAGTCGGGTCCGGGGTAAGTCGGGTTCGGAATCCCGAAAAACGAACCCGAGTTAGCCCTGACCCGAGTTACCCCTGATGATGTGGGGCTCTGGACGCCCGAATGATCCGGGGGAAGTCGGGTGCGGGGTAAGTCGGGTTCGGAATCCCGAAAAACGAACCCGAGTTACCCCTGACCCGAGTTACCCCTGATGATTCGGGGCTCTGGACGCCCGAATGATCCGGGGAAGTCGGGTCCGGGGTAAGTCGGGTTCGGAACCCCGAAAAACGAACCCGAGTTAGCCCTGACCCGAGTTACCCCTGATGATTCGGGGCTCTGGACGCCCGAATGATCCGGGGGAAGTCGGGTCCGGGGGGTTCGGTTGACCCGAGTTACCCCTGATGAATCCCGAAAGAAACGAACCCGAGTTAGCCCTGACCCGAGTTACCCCTGATGATGTGGGGCTCTGGACGCCCGAATGATCCGGGGGAAGTCGGGTCGGGGTAAGTCGGGTTCGGAATCCCGAAAAACGAACCCGAGTTAGCCCTGACCCGAGTTACCCCTGATGATTCGGGGCTCTGGACGCCCGAATGATCCGGGGGAAGTCGGGTCCGGGGTAAGTCGGGTTCGGAACCCCGAAAAACGAACCCGAGTCAGCCCTGACCCGAATTACCCCTGATGATTCGGGGTTCTGGACGCCCGAATGATCCGGGGGAAGTCGGGTCCGGGGTAAGTCGGGTTCGGAACCCCGAAAAACGAACCCGAGTCAGCCCTGACCCGAGTTACCCCTGATGATTCGGGGCTCTGGACGCCCGAATGATCCGGGGGAAGTCGGGTCCGGGGTAAGTCGGGTTCGGAATCCCGGAAAACGAACCCGAGTTAGCCCTGACCCGAGTTACCCCTGATGATGTGGGGCTCTGGACGCCCGAATGATCCGGGGGAAGTCGGGTCCGGGGTAAGTCGGGCTCGGAATCCCGAAAAACGAGCCCGAGTTGGCCCTGACCCGAGTTACCCCTGATGATTCGGGGCTCTGACCGACCGCATCCCCGCTGGCAGATCGGCGAGGAGCCCCGGCGGCGCCGGCGGCCCGGCAGCGCACGGGCTCGGCCCGCCGCCGACGTCGGCGCTGCCGGCGGTCGGCTCGGCCGTCGGTCATCGGCGCCATGCCCCTGGTGGTCGCCGTTGTGGGACGGTCGTTTGCCGTCGTCGTCGTCGTCGTCGTCGTCGTCGTCGTCGTCGTCGTCGTCGTCGTCGTCGTCGTGGTCGTTATTGTCGTCTGTCGTCGTCGGCGTCGTCGTCGTCGTCGGCTGGTCGTCGGCTGTCGTCGTCGTCGTCGCCGCCGTCGTCGTCGTCGGCCGTCGCCGTCGTGGAGGTCGTCGGCCGTCGGCCGTCGTCGGCCGTCGGCAGTCGTCGTCTGCCGTCGTCCATCGTCGTCGCGTCTGGTCGTCGGGTCGTCGGCCGTTGCCCGTTGACGGAGGTGGGAGGTCGTCGCCGTCGATCGAGGATCGAGGCAGGCGGCTTCACGGCGTGTTGACACCGGGGGCTCGCAACCTCCTCGGGTTGCCGAGGTCAACGACGAGGTCGTCCGTCGCCCGTCGTCCGTCGTCAGGGTAATCGTTGTCGTCGTCTGTCGCTGTGGTCGTCCGTCGCCGTCGGGGGTCATTGTTGTCGTCGCCGAAGGTCGGCGATCGAGGATCAAGGTTGTTCCGTGTTCGGTGTTGAAATCGTGCCTGATCGCACTCCTCCTCAATCTCCTCCTCGTGGTCCTCGTCGTCGCCCGTATCATTCACCGCCGCCGCCCTGATTCCTCATCATCCACATCCTAGTCCTTCTCTTCTTCAGTCTCCTCGTTCTCCCCCTCCACCTCCTTCCCCTCCTCTCCTCAACCTCTCTTTCTACCCATCCTCTTCCTCATCAACCTCATCATCAGCACCCCCTTTCTCTGCATCATCAACACCACTTCGAGGAACCAGGGGAGACCATCCTGGTGGGCGGCCCCCTGATCAAGCTGCCTCCTGCTCGCGAAACCTGCACTCTCTGGCTCGGGAGGGATATCGTGGACCTCCTCGCTGGCAGCCATCTGGTGAGGGTGGTGGTGATGTCACAGGCATCTCCCCCCTTCGACCTAGAAGACCCCCCTTCCTTCTGAGAAGGTGTCTCAGAGGCCCCCTCCTCCTCCTCCTCCTCCTCCCTCTCCTCCTCCTCCCTCTCCCCGCCTCCTCCCTCCCCTGCCTCCTCCTCCTCCTCCTCCTCCTCCTCCTCCTCCTCCGCCTCCGCCTCCTCCTCCTCGCCTCCCTCCTCCTCCCCCCCTCCTCCTCCTCCTCTTCCTCCTCCTCCTCCTCCTCCTCCTCCTCCTCCTCCTCCTCCTCCTCCCCCTCCTCCTCCCCCCACGCATTCTCCAGAAAAAACAACGAGCGTCGGAAACAGACACCTTCGGAGGTCCCAGCGGATGTCTCGGCCCAGCACCACAACGCACGCCACCAGAATCACCAGAACCATCGATCCACGACGTGGTCATGCTTCCTCCAACGATCTGGACCCCCTCCCGGGGACCAGCGTGCCGTCCCGAGCCGACCCCCGGTGGATGGGCAGGCGCCGCGGGCGGGAGGGAGCTGTCGCAGATCAAGGACAGATCGCGCGGGCCCCCGGAAGTGTACAGTCGAGGCGTTGACCTAGGAACCCTAAGTAAGGAACGAGGCCCCTTTATTCCATAAGTTAACCTTCGATTTCCGATCGAAAATATAAGGAAAACCTGAGGCAATCTGTGAAACAACTAAGGGACACGGAGCCCCTCCCCAACGAGAAGGGTTCCTTCTTCAGCGCCCCGACTGTAAGGTGCGCAATGTTTGCTTGGCGAGTCGCGGCGGCGGCCCCAGCGACACGCTGTGCCCTGCAAGCGTGTCGCTCCGCGACGACGGCGCCAGCGGCGCAGGGCGGCGTGCAGCGGTGACGACCTCGTCGACGACAACGGACAGCGACGTGCATGGGCATGACGCCAATACTGAAGGAGCCCTGAGACACACAAATAAGTAGACACAAATAAAGGGATTCCCCTATATTTTCCCATATTTTCTGGGTTTTTGTCTTCCCCCCCACTTCCCATATTTTGCCATCTTTTCTGGGGAATCGCCGATTAATTGTGTCTGTGTGTTTCTTTTCCTCCTGAAATACACGTCGCTGGGAGGTCTTCGTCAGAAGGACTGAGGAGGATTAAAGCCCCCTTGGGGGGCTCTTGCGCCGGAGAGGGCCTCGGATTCAACGAGATGCATCAGGACTCAGCGGGATTCAGCGGGCTGAAACCATGTCAGAACGCAATCAAGCCAGATTCAGCCGGATTTCGGACCAGGGCAAGATCAGAATCTGACCTCCCAGGAGTTACATCCAAACAGACGGGGCCCGGGGTCCTAGACGCTGGGGGTCTGCCCCCAAAGAGCAGCCTTTGATCCTGAGCCGAACACGGGAAAAAATGCGGGGACCCGCTCCCAGACATCCGCCGACATGACTTTTTTTTGAATCCGCGGCCCCAGAGGTCCCGATCCCTTGCCAGGGGATGTTTTTTCGTCCCCGATCTATGTTTGATGGTCCCCAGCCCGAGAAGGGGCCCTGGAAGCCGAAATCCAGTCCTCGGATCTCCCGGTTTCCCTCAGGACCCGCTTGCTCCACGGCGAGCAGGCGGCGACGGCGGCGACTCCGCCTCCGGCGGGCGCGAGGGGCGGCGAGGCAACCGAGCGGAGGGCGCGGCGGGCGTGGCGGCGACGATCTCGACCGCGACGGCGGCCGGCGACGCAGAGCCGGCGACGGCGGCGCAGCCGCCGCGGCGGCGACAGCATCCAGTCGACGGCGGACGGCGACGTCGCCCGCGACGGCGGCGCCGCCGCCGCTGGCGGGGGCGGCGGCGCCGCGAAGGGCGGCGAAGGGCGGCCGAATAGGGCGGAGGTGGTCGGCGGGGCGCGCCCTGGGGGCGGCACGGCCAGGGCGTCCAGGGAGAGCCAGGGCGCCTCCGCGCCGTCGGCGGGCAGGCAGGACGCGTCCTCCGCGGCCGCGCCCGCCAGGGGCGGGGCATCGGGTGGGGTGCAAATAATTCTTAGCATTATTGATTGTTTCTTCTTCTTCTTCTTATTGTTCTTGTTGTTCTTGTTAGTGCTAATGTGAATAGTAAATAACGGTCATTCGCAATAACAGGTGGGGCAAAGAAGGGGGGCAGAAAAGCTCAATTTCCAGGCGGACGCTGGGCTGCTCCGAAACATGCATGTCGATTCGCCGCCCTCGCCTTCCCTTCCCGCTCTCCCGCGTCCGCGGCATGCGCTGCTCATGCGGGGGCGAGGTTTCTGCTTCTGCTGCGTCCGTGGAGAGGAGCCCCACGGGCGCCAGTTGCGGGCCACCACGCCGGAAAGGCAAATATTACCCTCGTCGCCGAAAAAACGCTGGTCTCTCCCCCGATTGAAACGGGGGGGGGGTCCCCCTCTGGAATCCCGGGGCCCCCACTCAAAGGGGGGGGAGGCAAGGTGCGCAGCGTGGCCCGCGGCTCTGTTTGCGAGGGGGAGTGGGGAGCCCTCGGGGCGTGCCCGGAGGAGCAGGAGGGGGGGGCCTGGCATCTGGGAGATCTCGTGGCCCCAGCCGTGCTACCCAGTCTCTTACAGCAGGCACGTCCAGCAGTAAAACGAAGATGCGCATCGTGGCAACAGGCTCTGTTTGCGAGGGGGAACGGGGGGCCATCGGAGCGTGCCCGGAGAAGCAGGATGGGGAGGCCTGACATCTGGGAGATCTCGTGGCCCCGGCCGTGCTACCCACAGTCTCTTGCAGCAGGCACGTCCAGCAGTAAAAAAACGGCCGGCCAGCAGATGCCCCGCAGGAGTTGTTTACGTATCCCCCAGTGGCCCTGGGGTCACGCAGAATCGCAGCCCAGAGCTCGACGACAAAGCTCAGAGCTCGCTGCCTCATAACACATCAGATCTCTCTCTATATATATGTATACATAGATATCGAGCCTTCTTGTCGTATGTGTCCACTGGACTCCTCTCCCCCCTTGGACGCTCCCGAAGGGAGGGTCGACACACCTGCGTCGTCGTCGCTCCATGGCGGCCGCAAGGCGAGGCCCCCTCGCTTTGCGACAAGAATCTCACGGCGGAGAAGTGTGATAATTGTCGGCCTCTCGTCAACGGGCAACAGACGACCCGTAACACCCTGCGTCGTAAGGAACAAGATAGCGAGAGTCCAATGTCCAGAAAAACGCATTTGGAACCAAGGTGGCCTCTTAGATTGCTCGCGCGTCCTCCTGCTCCTGATCTAGCTGCACCTTTGGCGTCGTCGTCGAGCTTTTCGTAGTCGTCGTCGTCGTCGTCGTCCTCCTCCTCCTCCTCCGAATCCACGTCATTGTCTTTATCGCCCTCGCCCTTCCCCCTTCCACTACATCTCCTCCTCGTCCCCCTCCTCTCTTCTCCCCGCTCCTTCTCTTCCTCCTCCTCCTTCTCCTCCTCCTGCTCGCCCCCCTCCTCCTTCCTCGCTCCTCCTCCCTTCCTCCTCCTCGTCCTCCTCTTCCTCCTCCTCCTCCTCGTCATCCTCCTCCTCATCCTGATCCTCCTGGTCCTCCTGGCCCTCCTCCTCCTCCTCCTCCTTCTCCTCCCCCTCCTCGCCCCCCTCATCGCATGAATCCTCCTCGTTCTCTTGGTGGTTGTCCTCGTCGTGTTCCTTCTCATCCTTCCCCTCATCCTCTACATCCTCATCGCACTCCTGCTTATCCTGCTCCTCCTCCTGCTCGCCGTGCTCCTCCTTGTGTTCATCCTGCTTCTCTTCGTGCTCATCATCCTCCTCCTGTTCGCAATGCTCCTTCTCCTCCACCTCCTCCTCCTCCCCGCCCTTTGCATCCTTGTTCTGCCCCTCCTCCTCCTACGCGAGTGCGCCGAGGTCCTGGCGTTGCAATTCTTCCACATTGGGCGTTTGCGCCTCGTTTCGGGCCCCAGGACCCTCACAGATCGATCCGCCCCGAAAAATGGCGCGAACGGATTGGGTCCGGGGCTCCAGTCGTGATTCTGTTGCGATGGTGGGCGTTTTCTCACTCGGCGTTTCGACACGGAGCGAGAGAGGGGGGGAGTTGGGGGGGGCCTGGCCCTGGACCTCTGAATGGCGCGACTGTTTGGAACCATGCGTCCTGTGAGGGGGGGAGGAACTCCACCTGCCTCGAACCGGGCGCCAGAGCCGGCCAAGATCTACTCCAGGGGGGGGAGGGGAGGAGGGGGGGGGTACGAGGTGAGGGGAGGAGGAGGGGAGGAGGAGGGAGGGGAGGAGGAGGAGGGGAGGAGGAGGAGGGAGGGGAGGAGGAGGGGAGGGGAGGGAGGGGGGGGGGGGGGGTGCAAAGGCCCTGCGCCGATCGGCGAAACAGTGCATATTAAAAAAAAACGGCTGCATGCTGCAATGTGCTCTGCAGCGTCGGACCTCCGGGTGGGCAAGCAAGGCGCCCCCCCTGGGGAGGGGAGGCCACGGGCCTCGGGCCTGGATCTCGGCGCCCTGGGGAGGGCTTGCGGCGGGGAGCTCGGGCTCTGGCTTTCTTGGAGCTGGCCATCGCTCGGACGTGCCCACTCCCTGTGTTTTTTTGTTCGGTTTCGTGCGTGGCTTCTTCGCCAAGTGATCAAGGATGCTCCTCGATGGTCCTCGCCGAAGGAAAAATGCACACGTCCGAGCGATGCCAAGGGAGGGGGTGGCTGTGAAGGTCCAGGGAGATTCCGCGCCGGGAGGCCCGGGGAGATCCTGTCGCTTGCCCCTCCGCTGCCTCGGGGGGGCCCCCGCCCGCCCGCGTCCTCCAGCAGGGCCCCGCCCGCGCCCGCCGCGCCCAGGTCGTGGGGCGGCTCGCCGCCGCCGCAGGCGCAGCACTGCGCGCGGCCCGCCGGGGCGGGGGGGGGGGGGCTGCGGCGCGCTCGTGGTCCCACGAGCGACGACGACGGCGACGACGACGACGACGACGACGGCGACGACGACGACGACGACGACGACGACCACGACGACGACCACGACGACGACGACGACGACGACGACGACGACGACGACGACGACGACGACGACGACGACGACGACGACGACCGCGACGACCGCGACGACCGCGACGACCGCGACGACGAATGCCAAGGGCAGGGCACTGCTGGCCGCGCTGGTGCAGAGCGGCCGCGCCTCTCCGCAGCGCCGCTGCGGCAGCAGGCTTGTGGTCCACAACGGCGCGCTTGTCGTCGTGCGCTCGTCGACCACAAGAAACCTTTTCACTTGGGCATGACTGGGGGGTCAGGTCTGCAGGACACCCCGAACGGACATCAAGGGGCGCAACCAACAGGTTCGGTCAAGCTGAAACTGATGCAACACACCCAGCGCCACGCCAAAACTTTGGACACAAACGAGTGTTTGGACGTTGCACATCTTCGTCGGCTAAATTGGCGAGGCGTTTGACCACCTTGACGTCACATGCTTGGTGTCATTGCACCGGCCATGCAGACGTGCTGCAGTGGATCTGCTTGGACTTTTAACCGAAATAGCGAGTGAAAAACGACTCCCTGGATTCGTTTTTACCAGGATGTCAAAACGAATTGGCGAATGGACGAGCCTCCCTTTAGCAAACCTCCCCTTCGTGAAAACGGCCTGGGAGCGAAACCGACGGACCTGGACCCGAAAAAATGACGGCCGCGACGCGCCCTCTTTCGAAGCGAAACCGACCAATTCGCTAATCGACGTCTCAGTGTAGGAGGTCTGTCAGCCTCCGATGGACGATGCACTGGGCGCGGCGGCCTTCTCAGAGCCCTCCGGAACGCTCCGAGAGCGCTCCAGACGCTCTTCGTCCTGGCCCCGCCGCACCGGGGCAAGAGTGGCCGCTGGTGCGTGGCTTCAGGGGGGGCGCGGAGGAGCCAAACCCAGCGAGCATCGCAGTCAGCCAGCCCGAGACCCCACTGTGCCCGCACTTGCCATCACTCGGACGCCCATGCCTCGTGCCTGCTTCGGCTTCGTGCGTGCATCTGTTCGCGAGATGGTCCATCCTGCTCCTCGAGGGCCCTCGCAGAGAAACATGCCACCACGTCCAAGCGATGCCAAGCGCACCAAAAGGCACTCCAGCGACAGTTCACTCTTACGCGTACCGATCTGGGGGCCCCACCCCGCTGGGATGGAGTGTTCGGTTCAGGAGGCCCACCGGCGAGAGTGGTGGTCACTCCGGCGAGAGGTCAATCCTGCGCGGAGCCGATCCCAGGACCCCTCCCCGCTCTGGGCGGCGCTTAACGGGGGGTCGATACATGGGGGGGGGAGAAAGGTGCATTACTCGGGCCCTAAAGGCCTCCTGAAGGTCCCCTGGCCTGCCGAGAAGCTTTCGAAGCCTGCCCCGAGGACGCGGCAAACTTCTCAGAAGGCGCGAGTGCGTCTGGGAAGTCACGCCGCCTCCTGAGACGGTCTTCTGCTTCTCAGTTCCTCCCCTCGCTCGCCGCCGATACAAGAACACATACCTCGGTAAATCTTCGCACCTTGAATTTGGACGCCTGAAGTGGGTACGGGAAACATTGGCACAATGCACAACAACGAATGTTGTCCAACACCGACCGCGGCCGTTGTGGGCAGGCGACCTGTCCTTTCAAATGGGCAACGTCCGCGGCATTACCGACAGCAGGTCCTGCCAAATCTCGTCACCGACACCGATACCGATGCCGACACCGGCACGAACTGCTCTCGGGCTCTTCGCCACCCTTCCTTCCATATCCATGTCCGCCCTCCTGATGGAACGCCCGAAATCAGCGCCGCCGCCGTGCCCACGCCGCGCCAGCCTGGCGTGCATCCCGCCTCCGCCCCTCGGCTACACGCAAGAGCGACCCTGGGTCAGAGTGGCCTTCGGCACGTGGCTTTTGAGGGCCGCGGGGGGGACCAAGCACAGGCGCGCAGGACGCCACTGTCGCATCGCGTTCGGCGATCGGGGGACCCGAGTGCACCCGCAC